GCTTCACAAATATGGAGTCAGGAGACCTGAATATGTCTACCCCTCATGGCATACTCCGTATCCATGGTTCGACTCGGGGTGCTTTTATATGGGTATTTGGTGGAGAAAGCTGTCGTTTTGATGGTTCCAACAATCGGCATAAGTATCGTTGGCGTCGGTATCATATATGTCTTCATAGGTAAAGGTTACCCTAAACTCGCTAGTCATGCGAGTCTCGATTATCAGAATCTGGGTATACTGACAAGTCTTCTAGACCACCCCTTGCGTCCTACCTTGTTGACACGATCAGCACACATGTCGCCTCCGCACCCGCTGCTTCTACTGTTTCGCGGAGTGTTGGAGCAATCTTACCCCTCGCTGGCCCTCCCTTGTATTCTACTCTAGGGCTGTGACGGGAAAACACGTTTCTTGCTGCAATTCCAATCATTATGGCAGCAGTACCGTGGGTAATTTTGAATAGAGGGCTGCACCTAGGGAGAAATATGCCCATTTTGTACATCAGAAAGCGTTGCTCAAGCGAATTTATTCAATATGCTGGTAGACTGCCTCATCAACGGTGATTTTCGATATGATACGGTCATTACACTCTCAGAGTCTATGAAGCTATTTTCAAAGTTGACAAGACGATCTTCGGCTCCGGCGCTAATTTCGAAGCTTAGAGTCAAAGTGAACAAGACGTTTATTCAAGGTGTTCTATTTTTCTCATGGCACATGGCCGCTCAACTATCTACATGGAGCTCAACATTGTGTCGAGCCATCGTACGAGATAATGCTGATGCTCAAATGAGGATTAGCATCGTTGGTACAAGTACTGTTTGGCAGATGTCCTGGGTTCCTTCGCATGCTCACCTTCTCTGTCCGATACGAGATCTTTATACGAAATGGGGGTTTTCCCCAGCCGTTGCCGTCTGGAGGGAACGTTATTGCTTTGTCTTGTCCTTACCGGGCCATCACCAGTTGACAAGAACTGGTAACAAAGAGGGGTACACTACGGCCTAGAGTATGAATTATGTCCGAGAATTTGCCCGTCGGACAAGACAGACGACTCGCCGGAGTCAAGCGTCGGCCGATCGACTTCTCCAAGTTGAAGGATTCGGCAAAAGCTACGTCGCGTCAAACATTTTGAGACTCTGCATGATTTTTGGGTGCAAAGAGATGAGGCTAGAAAAGCATCTTTGCATTCATAGCGCCTTGAATGATTCCAAATGGACTGGCTTGTCATGTACATTATCGTCGTAACATCATCGCGATGATCCGGATCACCGCAGGGCCTACACAGCAGCATCAAAAACACGAAAACCACTGTCAGCCTTGTGCGTCCGAGGAGTCGCATATTCCGAAGCCATCAGAGGGTGGGCGAAGCCCACATCCAACGACACCCACCTGAGACTGTACAACCTCCCCAGTGATAGTTGCGCGTCCAGCTGATCAAAATACAAACAAATGTCGTGGCAAATCACAAGGCCGCATTCTAATGTTGACTCTACTCGGAGGGTTGCCTAGTCTCCCCGACCTTCTGGCTCTCATTGCATTCTTCCATTGCGTCAAGTGAGTTGTCAAGCCTGCATACATTGCGTGTATCGGGATTAGTCGCCCCTGCAGTTTTCTCGGACAACCTTTGGCAAACGGCCATGGAGGTCGAAACGAGATGGGAAGGCAGCCTATTGAAGAATAGTCGGTCGAGAAATGAACATGCCGGCTTATCTACGATACGAAGCGGCAGCGGCTCCCCAGCCCCGAGCAGACGCGTCAATAGTCCTCACACTGGAGTCCAAGGACTCTGAGACATCCACCCACACCGCTTGGCCGCAGGCTTGGAGTCACATGGCAAGTCACAACCCCAGGCTACTAAATAAACGGGCGTTCCTTCCGTGACCGCGTAGGCGCCGCCCAGTCCGTACGGATCCCAGAGCTCGGGATTGTGGCTTGATCTGATAGTTAGGCTGCTAGCGTCCCATTGGGCAAATTCAAAGCGATTTTGTACATAACAGGTTTGGTTTTGACTAACAACAAACCATGGAGCTACCTAATATGAGAGCTGAACCACCGTACGCTATCCTATAACGCAAGAGGATCAAACGTAAAATAGTGAATCAAGCTCTTGATAATTTGTGTAGCTTCATAATACTGTGTTGGTGATGGAAAGATGACGGGACTTACGCTCCGGAAGGCATGCATGACCTTGAATTTCCTGTCTTTACCCCCACGAAAAGCATAAGAGCCAGCCGCGTCGAATGGAATAGCGGACGTCACGATGGCAAGGGACACCACGCATCTACACCTTGGTCAGCAGACCCCTCAGATCCACCTTGGATTGTCAGACCCTCAATATCGATCTTTCGGAGCCAGAGTTTAAGAGAAAGATCCGTAGTACGATGGAAGAATGTCACTCTGTGGCCTGTAACGCAGCGGGTACGTCTGAAACCTGGGGCGAGAGCTCACGTAAAACCAAGTCTCTAGAATTTACGCGTCGTGATGGCAAGATCCGAGACTACCGGGCGCCACACGAAGAAAGACGATAGGTAAATCAACCTGCTTGCCACAGGCGGACTGGAACGCGCCGGGAAGGAGGGGTGGGTGGGGATCATGGGGTTCGAGATGATGTGCCAAAGATATCTAGAGCAAGACGATCTTATGAAAGAGGGTGTGCAGATGGTGGCTGCCAATGAGACCGTCCTACCCTAACTAGAACTTGTTCCCTGCTCAGAGGACGCCATGTTCGATAACAGGGTCAGTGCTACAGCAGAGACTTGGCTGAGGTTGGTTCGGGATGACTGTTAAGCATAAGACAATAGCAGGGCGTTCTTATTCGCTCAGACGAAGGAGTCGGAAGTCGGAATGGCAGTTGGGTAGTGACAAGGGACCCAAATGGTACGATGTGGCTTCTTCTATATCCGCAATATGGCACTTGCAGATTCGCATGTCCTCGATGAACATTGTACATCTCTGTCAGTTCAACGGTCAAAGAGGAGGAAGAGATCAACTCCGTAGGTCTGACATGACGCCGTCATAGGGCTACTAGCAGACTAGCTCCGTGGCTGGCCGTGGCTTCTCGGCCAGCATGGTAATAATATGGGGTAGTGGCTTGAAAGCAAGAAAAGAGATGCGGGCTCTCGGGGGGCGAGGTTGGATTAGCCAAGGGGTAAGTCATGCGGCATTCCTCTGGGTCCATCAAGAGCAGCAAACACAATACGAGAAAGATTGGGGTGATATTCAACTTCATCGAGAGAGGATTGGGAGTGGGGTGTTGGAGGACGTACATGATGGTGTGAAGGATCGGGAAGGGTGAGCGGAGACTAGCAGTGATTTGTCTGACTTCTTTTTCATGCGGCCGCCACGATGACCGCCTTTTCGTGCCAAATCGGACAGATGAGTGAACGTAAGCGCTTTATGCCAAGGATATCTGCCATTTCCTGTCATGTTTGCTCGGCGTGCTTCTCACTAAGAAATAGGCGAACATTTTGTAGGTTTCTCCGGACTACAGGTTGTGCTCCTGGCAAGCGACTGGGATTCGAGCTGCGAACTGCTGCGAGTAACACCGGTCGCATACATAGCCGTCCGATGCTAGCGACAAAAAGTGAGCCAGTCGGACAACACTTGAACATGGTAGTGGACCAGCTGGAAAGTTCATGAGAGTTCAGCCACTCGACGTGACGCCACATTTGGAGCCGGGAACTGACCACCGTTTGATTTGGTCGATTGGGGAATGCATGGTGAGAAATGTGAGTGGGTGTAGCTAGTGAACATGGTACCTATTGATGTGATGGGGTGAACGGAACGGGCGGACAAGTTGAGAAATCGACCTAGGCCTTGAAGGAGGGGGGTCGTGATGGAGGGTGGGGGTTGGCCGTGAAGTCGTCAAGAGCAAACGGCGGGGAGGCTGAGGAGAGATCGGCGTAGGGAATGAGAACCCTTACATCCTTGCTGCGCTGGGGTCCGAGGATTATGAGTCTTTGAGTGCCTGCAAGGTCTAGAAGCAGTGGTGGACTAGGGCGAAAAGGGATTCACTGGTCCAGACCGGGAAGAGTGTGGCTTGACCCGGGAATGTTGATGGAGCAATGACGAGGCAGCTAGTGATGCCGAGCGAGAACTTGGTTTACTTGGATATGGACGACTGTGTGCGTGAAACAGAGGTCCGAGGCGGTGAGCTGATGAGAGTGATTCGCCAGTCGGGGAGAGAGTGAGAAAAAAGTGAGAGGGAGAGGGTGCGTAACCGTTCAAGTCACCAGGAGAGTCGTCCTGGGCGGTCCATGATTCATGATTTGATGTGTCTGTAGAGGCATCACGTCTAATTTGGAATACCGAGCTTGTTCGGAGTGCGAGGAGTGTCAAGAACATGTCAAGAATGATGGCAGAGCCAAGGTGTTAGTTACCTACTAAAGGAATGGAGACATGTAGCTTTCCCATTTCATTTTTAGGCGTAGACGCGCGATGCGCCGGCCTTTCGCGTTTGGCTCCGCCAGTCTTTAAAGAGCATGCCTGGTTCAGACGACATGGAGCTCCCCATCAGAAGATGCGGGCTCTACTGGGATGTTTCACTCGAGCAGCGAGCTGCAAAGCTTGGAGGATGTATCCGTATCCGCAGGTGTCGAGTAAAGCCCCTAGGGTATCTTGGGGGGCAAAGAAAGGAAAAGGACAAGCGGGCAAACCTGGTCGATGCAGGGATCAGCATGGACGATGGCGGACGGCGGGCCGCGCGGAGAGGTGGACGAGCCTTGCGAGCTTCAAGGTCAAGGTTCAAGCTACCCTTATCCATGAAGCGATTGCGACGACGAAGGGGGAGGGGAGATGACTGGAAACCCATACTGTTTACGGATTATGGTGGTTTGACAGGAAGTTGAACGACGTTGGCGTAGCAGCCTCCCTGCAGCATCGGACCTTTCCCGGGCATCTTTGTACGATGTGACTGTGCGCCCACGGGGTAGAGTTTGTGCGAGAAAGCACGACAGCTACGATTTCGTCTTGGCTCGCAATCAACGCGGGTTCAAGGGAAGCCGACGATGGAGGGGACAGGATGTGGCTTGCTGCTGCTGCTGCTGCTGCTGGGGCGCTGCGCTGCCATCTACTCCCAAGGCACAGATATGGCTGGCGTCATCGGGTTGATGCGGTTCACCGAAAGAAGGCGACTGTCGTCGGGTAGCTGCATCATGCTGACCTTGTCCCAAAAGGAGCCGGTGAGACGGGTGGCTACTGGCCGAAGCTGCAACGGGGTCTCAAAGAGGAGGCAGATGCAGGTTTGACTGGGGCAGAACGGGTTCGGAGGGACCGCCACGGAAGAGAAACAGGTCAGGGAAAACTGTCCGATGAGCACCAAAATCGTTGAGAGAAGAGAGGCACTGGGGCACTGCCGGCCGGGGCAAAGATGACAAAAACCGCACCTAGCCACTTGCTGGAGGTGTCGTTGTCTCGGCAGCTGAACCCCTGCGAGGCGAGCCAGCCAGATGGCAGAGGTTGGCGGACAGGAGTGTCAACTTGTCAAGAATAGCCATCATGCAAATAGGCAGCGAAGAAGGGATATCTATGTCTGCGGGTTTGACAGAGACTCGCCGGGCTGCTTGATAACACGCTCTCTGATATTACAGGAGAGAAATGCGTCCGTCGGAAGCTGAAGACGCCGTCGGCCGGGAATCGGGCTGGGCAAGGTCACTAGGACTTTGCGATGCTGAGAAGGCACTGTGACATCGCGAGGTGAAGTCTTTAAAAACCCCCGGGTTGGTAAAGAGTAAAAAACACACTGAACGGTCCATGGTCGGCGTGGGGGACGTTGAAATGTAAGAAGAATAACCAGATCAGTACGTACGCACGAACAGGGCGGGAGGGAGCCAAGACAACGATCGGACTGAGCAATGCGCCGGTCTCGTATGGCCCTGGGGTAACTAGCAATTACCAACTACTTTGCTACTTGACCTATTCGTACATGTTCATTACTTGCTACTTCTTACTCGTTGAGCTTTGCTGCAGCGATCAACCCTATCTTTCTCGTCTAGCCTAGTCTTGTCTCTTCCCTTCTGTCTCGTCTGTGTGTCTCTCCCGTCACTGGGCTCTGAGGTATTCCCCGTCGAGCGGCTGCATGCGTAAACAGACTCTAATACTGCGTAGCACGAGCAGCATGCGGGTGTGTGTCTGCGTGGGGTGGGATTCATCGCATCGGGTTGCGTTTGATGTCGCACAGCTGCAACCCTGGAGCGGCGACGACTCGCGCGCGGCCCCGCGCCTTGCCCGACATGGCAGGTTAAGCTTGTAGGGAGCAGGTCGCAGTTGAACTGCCATGGCCCTTCTCGATTGCTTTTCTCACGTCTGACTGACGAGTCAAGATTGTCGAGTGACGGGCTTTGATGTAACTCTCTGTGTCCTTGGGACGAGACGTCGCTCTGCAGTTGAAGGGTGAGGTAGTAACGCAGCAGGTCAAAGACAAAGACCCGTGATGCTAGATGGGCTCGAGATAGGCGAGACACTGGGCAGACCCCTTCGGCTTTGCCATGGGCATTGAATGAACCTTGCGATGCAAGATCAGAGAGATGAGAAAAAGCAAGTTATTGAGAGACACGGGCGGCTTTAGGGGTTCGTCGGCATGGACCATGATTGGTGCCGATGATGTTATTGACGGACTCTGATATCGAATATTCCCGCCATTTGAGGTCTCGGAACTCAAGTACGACCCCAATGCGTCGAACATCTGAGATGCGAATCCAAGATGCACATCATCGACTGAGACGCTCATCGATACGAGTGAGTTGAGTCAACGCAGTTGTGAAAACACGAGGCAAGCAGACAAATGTTTGCTGAGGGTCCAATCGTCAAGATGTCGCACAGAGCGCCAGGCGCCTGAAAAGGATCCCAGCATGCTGGCTGCTACTGTGACACGGGTGCTTAGTGCAGCAGATGGCCTCACCATCGTTGACAAACGTGCGATGGATGATTGATGTAGAACTTGCTGAGAATGAAGGTGGGACTCATGGAAATCTCATATGAAGACTGAGTGAGATGAGACGAGGCAGGCGGTATAAGCTCTTCCCGATCGCCTTTGAAAATCTCCAGAGAAACCTCAGAAGCTGCGTGTGTCTACAAGATTTCGCTGGTACTTTAGGCTTCAAAGACGACCGGTATGTACCAAAGCGGCAGCAATCCTGGTGTGGGTGGGCATAAGTGGTTGGCGATCCCACGGCTCATGATTCATCCAACACTGACACCCGCTTTTGGCACCCTGGCTCGCCTCCTCCCGACGCACAGCGGTGATGGGAGGTGCGGCATGTGTCGAGAAGGGAACCGGTATTTCCGACCACACTCCTCCCGCACGGCTGACTGCACTTCACACCGTATCCTTTCCCCATTCATTCTTACAAGTGTATGTATCATTGAGAGGTGGCCCCCTTGTTGGACCCCTCCGTGACGGTGAGCCCAAATGTCTTGACCTGGACAAGATGGGTGGCTGAGGGGTACGGAGTAGAGGATGAGTGTATCATGGGGTCGCCGCGTGATGGAGGCACGCCACCTGCTTTCTGAACGGATGGTGGTGAAAGGGGGGTTGACGATGACAAGAAATGAAGTAGAGACATTTGAACATTAGGTGTGGTGGGTGCGTACTCGCGTGTATCTCTGCAGGCCTTGAAGAGTCGAAGAAGGAAGGGATCAAATGTTTGCTCGTACGAGAAACAAGGTGAATGTCTTGGGGTGCGAGGAGTGAGGCTCGACTAACACGGCGTTCGGGCGTGGCTTGGCGTGGATATGGATATGAACATGGGGTTGGAAGAGGTGAGGAGGAGTGCGGCAAAATGGATGGCAGCATGGGTGAAGCGAAGAGGGGGCGAAGGCGTGTTCATCAGATACCCTTGATGTAGATGCCTACGGCAGATACGGCATATGGATACTGTTGCGCGTGGTTGGGATACTGAGAGGAGTGTATAACTTGCTTGGGATGAAGGGCTAGACTACCTCGCTTCAATAGAAGTGAGGTATCGTGGGCGTACTGTTGTGGAGCGAGACCTACATTACTTAGTATGAGGCGAGCATGAAAAGAGGGTGCTGCTTGAGAACTGAGCTTCATGCTGCCGGCATGTCCATGTAGGTATTATTTTGCTGTTTGCTTGTACTTTTACTCGGCTCAAGGCAAGAGAGAGAGAGGTAGGTATGTTGTGAGATGGGGTATATGAGGGTGGGTGATTCCGAGTCTGCCGTTAGAAGGTATCCATCCTTCAGTCCCACGGTCCCATTCCTCTCATCTTTCGCACCATCTGAATCTCATTATTAATAGGAGCAACGCCGTCTCTTGAAGCTGCCTAGCTTAGCGGCTTCAAAGTTGGCTGCCCGCACCTCACCCCATCTCAAAGCCCTTTTGGGAGTAAGAGGAAACCAAAGCTCCAGCCTCCAACCAGCTCATCAGAGCATCAACACCGTCGATTGCTTACCGAACCCTCCACCGCTCCGAGTGAAGCGCCACGGTCCGCCAGGCCTGAAAGATGACCCCTGAGCATCGGCAGTGCTTTATCTGGATACTGGACCTTTGCCGCAACGGATAGCTGGGATTGTCATCGCCTCCTTGACAACCTGAACCCCCGCTTCAACGCCCGCTGGGACAATTCACTTCCCTCCTGTTCGCTACAGACCTACTCGGCAGCACATGGAGAGAAACACCCATCAGCACATCGTCACTGCTTCTGGAGTTTACCTACTAGGTCTTGCAGCTTAGCACTTGCTCCTTCGAGGTACGTACATAATCTTGGTTACGTTCTGCCAGCAGCGAGTTACTCGCCTCTCCATACTCCAGCAAGATCCTGGCACGTTGAGGCTGTCTGGTCCAGTTGATCTAATCTCCAACCTCCCAGGTCAAGGCTCCAGAGAGGGCCGAACATCTGATTCGCCGATTGGGTCATCTGGCGGTATCTTGGTATCAGCTTCCGCCATCACCGACCCCAGTTGCGACTCTGAGCATAGAACCTCGAACCTCGACCCTCGCTGGACCTGAATCAACTTTGACTCTCTGGTCACGGACCGTTCACTGTGTTCACTATTACTATTTCCTCTTTGCTTGTTCCACTTCACTCGCGTCACCCGCAACGATACCCAGCAAGTCTGACACTGCAAACCCCCTCCATCTTATCTTGGTACCTCACCCTACCTTACCTTACCTTACCTCCGGATCCCTCAGTTATATCTGTCTGGTCGCCCCCTCTTAACCCCTTCTCATCCAGCCGCCTATCTGTGCTGGATACTCCGTACAAGAGCGCGTCAGATCACCCTTTGGATCGACTACCTATCTCGAGACCATCACTGGCGCCATCGTTGCACACTTGAGCAGAGAAAAGAAAGACGGTGCCTTCCTTTGCGCTGCGCTACATAACGCTACCGAGACCATCGCCGCGCCCCGCCGCCTCCTGTCCCACTTGGAATTTCCCCTCCATCGCGTGCTCCAGCGTCCGACTCTTACAATAGTCCTTACCTAGCACCTCCGGCCCGGTAGCATCGTCGCCCGTCTCTCACCTTGCAGACGATACTCACTACTGGACCTTGACATCTTACGGATCCCCAAGGCAAGGTCGGCAGCAGCCTATCCACCAAGGTTCTCCGTTGAAGATACCAACGACGGAATCCTGACTCGAGACGACGACGGACGCAGCTCGGCTTCAGCACCAGACACCGGGAAACCCCCCTTCCAGTGTTCTTGCTGCTCACTCACTCACTCAATCACCTCACCTAAGCAACGCTCTGCGTGCTAGGTAATCATTCCCACTGCCGCTGTCCCTGTTGACCTGAGTTATTCCCGATCAGAGTGGAGCAGATTGCAACATTCATCACACATACTCATCAACAACATCACTCACTCACACGCTGTCATCGTCCTTCACCTTTGCAAACCGCATCTGACCGAGGCGCACCGCTTTTGCCGCCCGCACGGCATCCTTGTCGCACCTCACACCTCATACCTCACACCTCATACCTTACATCTCACACTTCACACATTCCGCCTCACACACACACACACACACATACACACACACATCCATCACACACCCACTATTACTATTAGCTTCTTGCCCGTTCTCACATCGCACACCACTCGCTTCTCCAAGGCCGCTGACATTGCTGTCTTTCTGCCCACCTCAGGTACCGACCGTGTGGACTGGGCCTGGACTGCTGCGTGATCCTCAGGGACCAAGACCTCGAACCAAGGAGACCTGGAGAGCTCGTGTTGTCGTCTCACCTCTCACCTCTCACCTCACTAAATTCTCTCTCATATCTGGCCTACACTATCGCCAGGCCATCAGCTACGCGTACTCGATACAGCATTACCTACCCAGTGCTGCTTGGACCGGTTTCAATCGCAGTGCTTGCCATCACTGGTCACCACTGGTCACCTGTTGACCTCATCTCAGTGAGAGCACTCGACCTCAGTGACCTCAGTAACTTCCACTCAGTGAGAGTGAAAGTGAGGAGTGAGGAGCGCCCCCCACCACCACCGACCGTCTCCGGCCGGCGAAAGCAGCCCGCTCGCTGCCCTGCAACTGGGGCCCCTCGGCGAGTCCATAGCGCTCTCTGCCCACTGAAGGCGCAGCGCCCGCAGCTCCCGCGCTCTTCCCCCTCCACTATCTGCGCCTGCGTCCTTCCCGCCTCTTCCACTTCGCTCCTCTTTTTTTCCCTCTTCTTCCTCCTCGTCCTTGAATCTCCCCCTCCACACTTCCTCCACCTCCCCTCCTCCAGCCAAAATGCCTTCGACCAACGGCTCCGAATATCGCCATATGCGAAGTAACAGTCTCAACATCCAACAACAGAATGGCCATCCCAGTCCTATCTTGAGCCCAATGGCCTCCAACGCATCTACCGCTTCCGCTGCCAGATTCGATGGCCCGCGCAGTCCACCGAGTACGTCACCTTGCCTCTCTGCCTCTACTCCTCCTTCTCTCCATCGTCGTATTCCTCTGCAGCTATTCCCTGTGTCTCTCTGTCTCTCTCCGCTTCGCTTCCGATATCGCCAATGCCCGTCGGTGTCTCACATCGGCTCTGCTACGATGGCACGCCGCTGAAGCTCGTCGGCATGATCGCCTCGTCTTCCCTCCCGCCGGTGGTGTCGCCTGCAACACGTCGCACCGCACCCGTCCTAGAGCAACCGGCGATTGCCCCTCTGTCTCTGTTCTGTCCTGCATCAAGTACTTTATCCTCGGCTGACTTATCTCTTCTCTTGCGCTACAGATACTTCCCACGTTCCCTGCAAATTCTTCCGGCAAGGAGCCTGTCAAGCCGGCAATGCCTGCCCCTTCAGTCACGATCTAGGCTCGGCCGCCGAGAACATCTGCAAGTACTTTGCAAAGGTGCGTCATTTCTCTCCCTCAGCCGGGCAGCTTCGCGACAACTCCCTCATCCTCATGTGTTCCGCCCCTCCATCCTGTCGGGCTGCTCTGCTCTACTGTTACCCCTCGGCTACACAGACCACACAACCCATCCCACCCTCGAGCCCGTGCCCCTCGCATCCTAGCAACCCCTGCCTACTATAACATCATCTCCGCTGCTTTGCTTACTGAGCGTGGAGCGACACGGACAAGAGTGCTAATGTGGTTGATTTGATGACAGGGCAACTGCAAGTTCGGTCCCAAATGCGCAAACATTCACGTTCTCCCCGACGGCCGGCGAATCAACTATGGCAAGAATGGTGTCACGATTGGAAATTCTCCGATAGCCCTCGGCGGACGAATTAATCCCACAGCAGCCTCCAACTACCACCCAACCAGTGCTCTCACCTCTGGCTTATACCGCGAAGGCGTCCCTCCCTACACATCGGCATACCCTTACGGCGGTGACGAGAGACAACAATCACTGGGTCGCCAGCCTAGCCTCGAGAGCGGCCTGCCTACGATCGATACCACCTATTCCCATCCCGGTTCCAATTACGGCTCGCCCCGCGATGACGATGCTTCTAGATTCGGCCTCGGCTTGTCTCCTGTCAATGCCAACGGACTGTCAGTACTCGACGCGCCGCTCCCCGCATCCTTCGACTCGCAGGGCATGTCTAATGCCGCCCGATTCCCCGCTGCGCCGTGGCCTTCCTCCGTCCCTTCCAAATTCGGCATCGAGTCCCCCTCGCCCTCTCTGAGCAACGCCAAAGATTCCCGAACTTCCGAAACTCTCAAGATGCTTCACACCTCGGCATTTGGTGGCAGTGAGTATCTTGCTGCGGCAAACGTCACCGCTTCCAGCAGCCCTCCCGGTCAGCCCGAGGAATACTTTGGCAAGCGGGCCATGCATTCGAGCCGATACGCAAAGCCAAAGATGCTCAGCTCGAGCATGCCCAAGACATCCGCCGTCGATCACGATTGGGAGGCCAATTTTGGCTTCTTGGAAGAGGATTGTGTGCCGTCCAATTTGCAGGATCTCTTGACGCCGACCGAGAAGGCCCGTCGCGGCTCTTTGCGCACTGTTGACGGTGAGCCGGGCAGCGAGAACGGCACCAAGTTTGGCAGCCCCATCGGCGGCGCGAGCCCGAGCAGGTGGGGCCCGCTATTCCAGCGCCAGAAGGAAGAAGAGCTTGGCCACAAGCATGGACCGTCGGTTTTTGGACATGTTGGAAGCCCTCTCCGAAACTCGGTGCTCTCGAACGAGATGGGTCACGGCGGTGCCATGGCCCGACCAATCGGCTCCCGTGCTGGCAGCGAGACCATGTCGGCACTCACACAGCAGCTTCAGCGCACACGGCTGGGTGACGACGGAAGCAGCAGCCCCCACTTGCATCCTTTGGCGGCAACGGGCCGAGCCCCGAGCAATAACGGTGCTGGGCCCATTGGCAAGGAACGGGATCGCGCGATGGAGCGTCATGTCTCGAGCGGCTCCATCAGCTCCTCCGTGACGGGACGATACACGACGCCCATCGACGAGGAGGATCCTGCCTTCGTGTTCAACATGGAGGAAGAGGAAGATCAGTCGTCGGCGCGGCTCCGGAAGCGTGGCTCGGCCGGTTTTGGGATCGGTGGTGGTGGATGGAGCTACGCCAACGCTCTGTCCAACAAAGGTGCACCCTCCGGTTCCGGCTTGGCCAAGGAACAGCGAGAGCCATCGGTCAGCGTTGAAACCGTTGGCGGGCGTTGATTGCTAGCTATGCTTCATGGCGGAACGAAGGAAGTCTTCAAAACACCGGCAACTAGAAAAAGCATAGCGACAGCCTTGCAAATTGTCACGCTTTTCAGTGGCATTCTTTTCACAACTCTCAACATTTACACCCTGACGACACTCTACGACACACGCAACAAATACATATTTCAGCCACGATTTTCACAGCATGCATGGGCAAAAGCCAAACGGAAAACGAAAAATTCAACCGGTCTACAAAATCAATGGGACACGAGTAAGGGATCGGATCTACACGGTGGCTTGCTTATACAACAGGGTAGGGAGTTTGTTGGAGTTTTTGTCGATGCCGAGTCACTTTTGGCTTTTGAGGATTGAATATTGGAGGATTAATACTACCAAACTGGCTCAACATAGGATGGCCTTGCAAACATGGAGAATCCACTGTCAGAATCTTAGGACCGGTGGTTTCCTTCGCCTTGCGCTAGGTGAAGTGTAGCCTCTCGATGCTTGGGGTAGGCAGGGAATGCTCGATCCGTCAAGCAGAGGATGGCATTAACTTGTGATCCTTGGCTAGAGGAGGTAACAAATGACCGAGGAAAAACATCTGGCTTTGGCTGGCACAAAAGTCACAGGTCGGCTGGCTGCGTGACTTGGTACCGCATTAGAGACGCCTGGAAGAGGAAAAGCAGATACCACCGTCTGATTTCCGTTCATTATATAAAAGCTGATTTTCTGAGAGACTGGCAATGGCCGTACGAATAGTATTATCTGTTGTTGAATTAAATGCACCACAACCCCGAGGCAATACGCGTGACACGTTTTGTATGCATAATAAACACAACCCGGTTTAACCTTTGCCGTGGTAAGGTCGGCTGGCCTGCATTCCGCTCGCTGTATCTGACGATCCCGAGCTGTTCCGATATTTTCTTGGAGACCGCGGAGACCAAGCAGATTGAGTTGACAGATGACTGGGACGGACGCAAAAGTAAGACGAACAGTCACAACGAAAACCCCGCCAATGGGTGACGAAAATCTATACACTAATACAAGGCAAACGTCAACAGGGCCCAGAGGTTGTCCAACTCCAGATCATGCCGGCATGCCGTTTTTGCGCGGAGGCCGCGCCGTGGGCTATCGTACGAAACCGTCCACCCACAAACACTCAAAGATAAGCCGGTATGCCTCTCGCTCTCTCTCTCTCTCTCTCTCTCCGTCCCTCTTTTTGCCCCCAATCCCGAAAACAAAGAGTTCCTCAAGAGCACAGACGCAGCGTCTTTCGTTTCCCTCCCGTTCTAGTTGCGAGTGGCGTGGTCGATGCCCCGGGGAGGGCAGATTATTGTACAGACCGCCGGGGAGACGGATTCAGTGGAGGAATGGGATGGGGATATTTAGTGGGCGTCGGGCTGGCTAACAATGTACTCGACCGCCTTGTCGACTGTAGATGGTAGATTAGTAGTTGAACTACTCAAGATGGTAAGGGCTGTAGGAGAAGCATACTTGAGTGGATGGTGTCGGCATCCTTGTCGGGGATCTCAATGCTGAACTCCTCCTCAATGGCCATGACGACCTCGACGGTGTCCAAGCTGTCCAAGCCAAGGTCGTTGGCGAAGTGGGCGTTGGACTTGATCTATATTTGCGGACAGACTACGGTCAGCTCTACTATCCTCGCTAAGGCTAGAAGCGCATCTCAATTGATGCGGTTGAGAGGTAGGTAGATGCTGGCAAGGTTTGGTTTGGGTAAAGCGAGAGGAAGGGGCGAAGAGCGAAGGAGGTGACGTACGTTGGCCGGGTCGTTGACCTTGTCGAAACCCTGGAGCAGAGCAAAGATGCGGCCCTCAACCTCCTGCTTGTTCAGGCCGGTGGCGGCAGAGTACATGCGAACGGAAATGGCCTTGGGAGCGGCGCGGAAGGCAGCTTGGGGCGCGACGAGGGATCTCCGGGCGAGGGGAGCGGACTGCTGGACGGCGGGACGGATGGCGCGCGTGGCGGCGGCCGCGGAACGGAGGACTGCTGTGCGGAACATTTTGAGGTATGTGTTTAGACGTGAGAGAGGCGAGACTTTCGGGGGCTCTGGCGATTGGAGTTGGGATCGGGATGGAGGAGATGGGAGGATCGGTTGGTTGACGGCTACAGCTGGGATTTGATGGGAGCTTGCTTCGGGGGTAGTGGAGGAGGGTGCTACGAGGTGCCAGTGATGATGATAAATTTCTCGTCACCCCCCCGAGGTGTCCCTGGCTAGCTCTCGGGAGGTGCACGTGCTTAGTCATGTGATCTCGCAAGTATCTTCATTTTGATGCATCACCAGACCAGATGGAGAGAGATGAATAAAAGTCACCAGAAATAACTATAGACAGATTGAAATGTTCTCATAAAATTGTATATCGTTAATTGACTTGCCTCTCCAAGTGAAGCCGTCATTGTCGAGTCTGAGGAGCTTTTCTTCCGTTCCCTCCAAGTCCCCCGACCAGACCACGTGATCCCCACACAGCCAATCAATTGCCGCCCTTTGTAATCCCGCACCAAAGCTCGCGCTCTCTGCGGATGGCCCGAATTGTCCATAACGTCAAGCTCTCTCTCAACGCCGCCCCGGAACATCCTACTCCCTCACCACACGCCGTATCCTCGCCCCTCCCCCGTTCGTCGTCAAATCCTCGATCCGACCCCCGGAAACCCCCTCCCAATTTGCCCGGTCAATTGGCGCCGACGCATCTCTTTTCTTCCTCGAGGAAAACCATAGCACAATGCCTCCCGCGGCCCAGCTTCCCGTCACCATGTTGGCCCTGGCGTCAACAAGGCCGGTCGCGAGAAATTCGTCGGCTGCCATGCAGCACGTCGGCAGATTGATGGCTGCCAACGCCATGCGCACCTACGCCACGCCCGCTGGTCCCCCGCCTGCCAACTTCCGCATGAAGAGACACCAGACCTGGGACGAGGACCAGGAGTCCACATTGAACAAGCTCGGTCGTTATTTCCTGCTCTCCGAGATGGCCAGAGGAATGTACATCTTGATGGAGCAGTTCTTCCGCCCGCCCTACACCATCTACTATCCCTTTGAGAAGGTGAGCAAACCATTTTTCTCGACATTGGCGACCATACTGGAAGACATACTGGAGGAATTGAGCATCAGAGATGGATAATGGGGTGGCCCATACGGGAAACGCAGGAAGAGCCGGACCATTGCCGAGATTAGGAGGACACGCATCGCCCGCTGTCACCGCACACGAAACCACGAATGCAACGAACAAGAGGGGACTACTGTTTGCGACAGAACAGACACATCGGAGAGCAAGCCGGCTAACAGGAATTTCTCTATAGGGTCCCATCTCCCCCCGCTTCCGTGGCGAGCACGCCCTTCGCCGCTACCCTTCCGGTGAGGAGCGCTGTATCGCCTGCAAGCTTTGCGAGGCCATTTGCCCTGCCCAGGCCATCACCATCGAGGCCGAAGAGCGCGCCGACGGCTCCCGCCGCACCACAAAGTACGATATTGACATGACCAAGTGCATTTACTGCGGTTTCTGCCAAGAGTCGTGCCCCGTCGACGCCATCGTCGAATCCCCCAACGCCGAGTACGCCACCGAGACCCGTGAGGAGTTGCTGTACAACAAGGAGAAGCTGCTGTCCAACGGTGACAAGTGGGAGCCCGAGCTGGCTGCTGTTATCCGTGCCGATGCCCCTTACAGATAAGACTGGGTTTCTTCACCTACACGCAAGAAAGACAGAAATAATTTTCTCTGGTCGAGGGCTTGGTGGGGACGATCGTGGTGAAGAGCGGGAAGTCGAGGAATCACACCTTTTTTTGGGCCTTTTTGCAACTTTAATGCCTAAAGGATGGACACATCAAGGCGGACGCGAGGGGACGACGGCCGCAGGACAATGAGGACAATAAAGGGCCGCGGCAGCAGTGATCTTGGCATGTTGTGTATTTCTACAGACAGGTCGGGGTTGGTTAGACTTGTGTAAATATCTCTCGCGAAAAGCAACCTTTTTTCTTTGTCTGTTGACCACCGTCGCCCCCGATCTTGTGTGATGGCATCGCAAAAAAGGCATCACATTGACAATGTCATTGCGTTTCATACCAGATATTTTCTTCTTCATGTATGGTCATGTAGATTCGCATCACGTTAGGACGGGGCGTTTAGGTTGAATTTCGAGAAGATGATTATTAGTGCAGCTTTACAAACAAATGTCTCTACCAAGTGCTGTTCATCACGCGTGACCTCGTGGGTTGACATTCACGGCGAAAAGATACAATCCAACCAACGCCTTGCTCTGATATCGTGGGCCAAGCTTCAGCAACGCCAGCGACCTTTGAAATGACACGCTTCCGTTTCTTTTGTGTTTCCCCCGGCTTGATACCGTGAGGATATCCTGTCTTTCAACGTTTTCCTCATCATCGACATGGCCACGTCCTTTACATCCTTACGCCTCTACGCGAATCTCATCATCATCAAAACGTCTTCTCCCAAGCCCCCCACCAAACACCCATGTTTGCGGCCACGACCAGATCCAACATCTTCAGCCCCTCGGGGTAGATGATCAGCTTGCCCAACTTGGCCCTCTTTCCCCTGTTGCCGCCCCCGGCCCTCTCCTTGCCGAGCTTCAGATCAAACGGGCTAGGCGGCTCGTCCTCGTCGCTATACTCGCCGGTTCGGTTACCGACGTTGAGAAGTCGGCTAAAGTGCCCGCTCAGCTGCTCCCTCTTGCCCTCCTGTTTGAAAATCTCCGTGCTGGGCAGATTAAACCGCAACTCGCTCACGCTAGCCGAGTACGACGACGAACTCGACGGCGCGAGCGGGTTACTCAGTCCGCCGGCCGTGGGGAGGACGTGTCTGCACTTAACACTACGCCCGGCGTTCCCCGTACGGAACTCGCAGCGGCCGTCCCAGGGCGAGACAAACACATAACCCTGAGGCCGGAGGCCGTGGCCCGGCTGGGTGATGATGGGCCCCGAGTCGCTTCCGTTAGAAGAGGCGGAGCCCGTCGAGTGTGCGCTCAACTGGCGTGAGTGGCGGTGAGTAGACCTCGCTGGCGGCGAACCAAAGGGGACTGAGTCGCCTTCGTCCATCAGGCTGCCTGAGCGCGACCGGGAGCTGAACTTTTCGCGAATGTTGGAGGACCAGGATTTGGCGTAGGACATGACGACTTGGCGTGAGAAACCACCCTCGGGAGACTGCTGTTGCTGCTGCTGTTGCTGTTGCAGGTGGTTGAGCGCGTCTTCCGAGTTGGCAAAAGGGGGAGCAGTTGTCGTCGATGTCCGTGGCATATCCACGCTCTGGCGCAGAGGCATGTGGCGGAACTTTGCGTAGCCCGAGGACTCGAGGCGGATGTTGATGGGAGGTTGAGGGGCGTTTGCGCGCCGGCGGTCGTGAGCCGAGAGACCTGCCGAGTCGAAGGAGAAGTACTCGTACCCGTCGTCGCCAGAGTCCTCGAGCTGGTGGGAGGCGACGCGGCCTACGTTCCACTGGTTCCCCGTGCTCGGGTCGCGGCGGATGAGGGAGAGGGTATAGGGGACCTCTTTTGTGTTGTGGAAGCGGTTCGGTGAGGGAGAGCGAGATTGTTGGCGATAGACGGAGGTCGGACGGGAGTAACGACGCGAACGCGCCGGCGACGAGGAGAGTTCCTGCTGCGGCGGCATACGGGACGGGGACTGGGAGGGAGAAGCGCGGTGGAGGTCTGTCGGAGGAGGCTGAGGGGGTCTGGAGGCAAAGGGCGCGTCGTAGTCGGGTGCCGGGGTCGGGATAGCTCGCGGGCCGACGGGTTTGCGTACGGGAGGGGCCGGAGGTGAGTGGGATGTTGGTCGCGGAGGAAGCTCCGGGCGGTCCTCTGTCCACCGGGGTTGGCGGGGGTCGTTGCCCGTGCCGTAGCCGATGCCGTACCCCGTCGCATTCCCGGTGCCGTAGCCGTAGAGGCCTGAGTTGCGGTTGCCGGCGGCCGCTGGATGTGAGCCTGGCGTCGGAGGTTGCGCCTGAGTTTGTGCCTGTGTCTGAGGGGGCAGATGAGCGCGGGCTGGATCGGCTGGCGGTGAGGGCACCTTTGCGCCTGCGACGGGTTTCCTCCGGATCTGAGCCGTGCTGCGGGTGCTGTCCATGCTAGACCTAGGCGTGTCCGGGTTCCGTAGATGGTGAGGTTGCTGAGATCCAGCAGCCGCTAAGTTTGGGTGGTATGGGTGGCTACCGTCACTGGGCAGTTCCAGGTGGATGTAGTAAAATGAGTTTGCGACATCTTCGCTGGTGACATTTTTGAGATGCGGTTTTGAGGTTGTCAAGATGACGTCTGCGGGGGTTGATGCGTTAGAAGTTTGTGATTATGAGATTTGACTTGAGAAAGTGAGATCGAAGATGAGAGAGAGGCTTACCTCGCGTGCCAGGCACTCGTGAGATGTAGAGTGTGAGGGGATCTTGACGTTGCTCGGCTGGTCTGTGAGGGTATTGCGGGGGGTTTGCGGCGAGATAATTGAGCGAGGCCAGAGACCTAGCCTCAACTTGTGTAGACATATTTTTTTTTTCAAAAGAATCAAGGCTCTTTTTGTTCCGCTTCAAGTGTGCCCAAGCAGAGGGGCAGGAGGAGGAAGTTGTGAGTATATCTGGCTCGATGCAGGTCGGCGGAAGGATTCCCGGGTGGTTAAGTGTTTGTTGTGGTGGTGTGGTGTGGTGTGTGAGTGAAAAGGGTGGCTGAGCCAAGAGGTGATGTGAGGCGGGAGGTTCACAGCCCACCCGCACTTGAAGGGTACTCGCGGTACGGAGAGTATTCCCTTGTGCCTTATGGATACTCAACTCAAGGGCCAAATGCCGTGGACGACGGGGGAGACCAGGGAGCTGGCGCTGTCAAATGTCACGGCTGGAGCTGGTGTGGGTCGGGAAAACGGGGTTGTGATGGAGAGAGTTTGTAAAAAGGTTGAGCTTAAATGAGGGAAAAGATTTACTTCATCTGGTAAATCTCACTTGGCTCGGTCTCTCTCTTTCGGTTTGTAAACGGCGGTGGGTAGGTGAGAGTGTTGGTGGTGAATCTTTTTTTTGTTGTACAATGTGAGCGAGATTGGTGAGTGTGATGAATTTGGCGATGCAAAAGTGAATATTGAATGCAGAGCGCTGTAAAGAGTATCGTGTGGTTGGTAGTGGTGGTGGTGGATGAAATCTGAGCGAGATGTGATCGACCTGCAGCTACAGGAAGGGTGGTTGGGGGCGTTTGAATTAAAGACGGCGAGGGCTGGACGTGGACGCAGTCTTGCAGGAAGATGAGCAAGAAGAGGAAGAGGGGCGAATAAGAGATACTAATATCGCGCGTGTTGCCTGGTGGGTACGCAGCGTATACGGGTATCTTGCTGCTCGTTGCTCCAGTTGTTTGCTCGCGTGTCTTCGTAAAGAGTGGGAGTAAAGCGAGGGAGTGAGAAGTGGTTGGCTCGTTGTGCTGGCGATGAGGCGTACCTTACTTTCGTACTTCTATTGTAAGTGCTGTGAGGCGAGTCGATCCTCAAAGAAGAAACGAGAAAAATAGAAACGACGGGCAGGACAAGGGAAGCAAGTCCCCGGATCTGCAATAGCGGCGCGGAAGGGATGTACGGGAATATGGTGCCTGGCGAGCCGCAAGAAAGGGGGCCTGTCGTGTGGTCTTCTCTCTTCTTCCAAGTTGACAAGACAGACAAGCACAAAAGTTGATGGGGTGGTTCGGCACTGTTTGGATCGCTTTCAACTGCGGAGACCGACGGTTCCTTGGTAAGAAGCGTGGAAGCGAGCTTTCTGCTTGATGTTTGTCTCTCTCTCTCTCTCTTCCTCTCTCTGTCTGTCGACTTGGCGGGCTGAGACTTATCCAATGGCAAAAACGAGTCGTAAGCTGGATGTGGCTGTGCTGTGCTGTGTTGTGCTATGCTGAGCTGCGCTGCACTGCGATATGATCCAAAGGTAGCGAGATGGCGGCGCTGGTGACCTTGCAGCGCGGTGCCGTGTACGTGTCCGTTCCGTAACCTTGGTGATGAAAGGTCTCGAAGGCCTTCTTTCTTGGTGCCGGCGCCGGTGCGCAGTTATTTGATTCCTTCTGAAGCTTTTCTAAAGCTCGGGAGTAAAGCCCAGTAGGGAGACTTTGCACCAATGCCGTGACGGGTTCGGAGTCAGCGACGGCACCTGAAAAGGCTGAAATTAATGATCTGGGCTTGACAGGGACCAGAGCTTTGTCTTGTGAAATGAGAGTGGGCAGTGGGTGGTTTGTGCTGTTCTTGGCATGAGATGGGGAAAATGAGGTTTGAGCAGAAGTGAAGATGCTCTGCCAACGATTTTGGTGGGAGGTAAAGCTGTTTCCCCTCTTTTCACGTCTCGATGCTTCAGAAGTTCGGTCTGAACTCTGTATGCATCGGAGAGTTGCGATATGCATGGAAGATCTTCTCGGGAGGATTTTGGGGGACTCGAGGCGGGAGGAGAGGGGGATTGTGCTATTTTTCGCATGCTTTTTTGTCGCGGAACTCTGCAGAATCCTCGTGTGGGTGGCCTTCTGTACGCCAATACATGGGTAGCAGTAAGTGGGATGGATAGACTATCCGTACGTACACGACTACCTACCTTACGGATACAGACATTAGACAACGGCCATTCACCCTGCCTGAGAAGTAAGTGAGCACTGAGCAGCCCTGCCATCTCGCATGCCTCAGCTCTTGCTCGAACTAGGTCCAGAGCTTGATCGAGGCTGTTTGTGCTCCGCGACTGGCTACGAAATGTCTCGCCTCCTACACGGGATGACGACCAAAGGTCTCGGATTCCCTCCTAACGGTCCCACGAACGCCTGAGATTGTCCACGACTGAAACAAAACTTCCAAGTGATCGTGCCGCAGCCGCATTGAAGATCGCTCTCTAGTGGTCCCTATTCCATACATGAGTATATGTCGATGAGGGGATGTTGCGGTCTATAGAGGGTTACATTCCTATGCGGGTAGGGCCAGGAGATGCTGGAGACAAAGGGGCCCGAGCTGTGAGGAGCTTTCCGTTACGAGGATGTCCTCTGCACAAGAGGTTTGCAGCCCATTTGACTCTGACGAATAAGCACATGCGCATGAAAATGAACGTCACTTGAAGGGCATCCACAGGCTCTTCGGAGCTGGGCAGTCAAAGCAGTCTCAATCTCAAGAGTCAGCTATCGTAGGGCTCCAACGGGGGGCATCCTTTCATTAGCACGGCCAATTCCATCCCCGTCCCATGGAAGGCCTTGCGAGTCGTTACCGAACAACACAGTCATCTCTTGAATACTTCCAAGTTCCTGAGTGGCACAGTGGTCGATGAAATGTGGCATGGCTATACCAAGATTGGTTCAACAACCAATGCCCGTATACCCGTACACATAGTCAAAAGCCGCCTCAAAAGATCAAGCTTCACACGACTGTGACGCACCGCACCGGATCTTCGGTCGTGTCCACGTCAACTTCAAGGGTCCAGGTCCGCTGTGGCGTCGATGAGACTACACGCAGTACTGTGAAACTGTCCACAAGCGCCCGCGCATGCCGCGAGACCCTGGAGACGGCAACGCCAGGGACCCCGACCGACGTCGCGGGTGTTGTCCCCTGTGCCTGGGCCTTTAGCTGGCTGACTGTGCCGTGGGAATGTCAAAAGACTTTGCGCTGAGCCACACTCGTGCCCCTGGAAAACTCGCCGTGTGCCAACTTTGCTTGTCTCGAAAGCCCTTAAGTAAGCTGAGACTCTTCCCTACTGTGTATGTACATAGAGTCTAGCTTCGGCCTCTTCGCTGACTCGGAACTGAACATGCTGCCGACGAGCGAGGCATGTCCATGCCGGCCAGCTGGCAGGTGGGAACTCGTCAACCTCGAAGGCTTGGGTCTCCCAGCTTCGTCTCGCGGACGTGGCTGACTGCTCACCTGTCGACCGTTCCAAGGCTTGATGCCCCCTTATTTCCGCGCCAGCCGTTCTGTCAATCATTTTGGTTGCACTACCTGCGCGCACACGATCATGATCATGGCGGGCGACGTTGACGATGATGCGTACGAGGGAGGTTAAGGTTGATGGTGATGTCACTCACCCCAGCTAGATGAATATCAATGGAGACGGCCAACTAGATTTTCTTGTCTCACTCTCTCTCTCTCTCTCTCTCTCTCTCTCTCTCTCTCTCTGTGCGTATCTGTGCTATTTTTCGCAGTGTTCGTCACCAAGGATGTTGATCCATGACGAATCCTATGATCTCACGCGACGAACACCTCCACCATGGCGGTAACTATGTGAATCCTCATGATCCAATGCCCAGATTGACAGCTTTGAGCATAGCCGGGCGTCCAAATGAAATCCTCACCTTCTTGGCATGGAGACTGCGGTGGGTTCATACTGTGATGACTGTGTACACATGTAAGAACGGTCGAGTTGTCGGCTACAGACCGGTAAGAAGATCTGGCCATTGACATCGTCTGCTCGTCATTCCGGAGGATTCGACGGTCAATCTACGGCGATCTTGGAGTCTGGGGGATCCAAAATAGGTGGGATGAAAACCCAAGCAGACGGCACGGCAGTTCCCAAGTTTCCACCGGTCGCCAAGGAGGTTCCAAGACCGGTTCCGTCACCCCGCAACCAACTCGACTTGTGAAAAGATGGCCGTGTGCAGATGCATCCGGCCCCGTGCGTGCGCGACTACCGAAGACCGAGAGAGAGAAGAGAAAAACAGAGTTTCGGCACCCTGACGATGCGAGGTTGAAAATCTGCCCAGCACCAACACTTTAACTTTCTCTCTTGACTTATATCGTTGTTCAAGTACGAATCGAGTGCGAAAACGTCCTCTAAAAGGAATTGAATACCGCCTCGTTGCATTCATCGTTTCCAAACGCTCGCCGGCTGTTTTTCCCCATTCAGTCCTACTGACTCTACCCCTTTGTTTTAAAGAAATTGATTGCTTACGTCACATGGCGGTTATGCGGCAGACGCCCACTTACAAGACCGGATTACGGATAGTCCGTCATATCCCGTTCGACTTTTCACTTGAGAAGGTCAGGGGCTCACTTTGTTTATCAGTACTCACTGCGATTCATGACTCTTTACTCGTGTTGATATGCTTGGCAACCCAGTCGTGGGAATCGCTGCCACCAGATTTTACCTCAAACGCAAACTCAACAGACTATCAACTTCATCTACTACGTACGATTATTCATCGTTGAAGCCAAAAGCCAACGCATAGTCCTTCAGACCAAAATGTAACATGCCCATTACTGACAATTGATCGGATACCACCCCGATATCCATGGTCCCTGCTGACCCAAGAGCCGCGCTACCACTGGTGGGAGAATGTATGACTCCAAAAGTAGATTGGCTTCGTGACATCGTGGTTCGGTCCAACTGCCGACTTGGCTTGTGGAGGATCCCAAAGAAGAATTTCTCCTTCAGACTTCTCCAGCATGAAGCTAAAGTCATGAGCCCTCTTCGGATTCGTTTGCCTTAATATGGCTAACCGGCAATCCGGGAGAAAAAGGTCATTCGCCTACGAGGCTCGAGATCCATTATATATTGTTTCTAACTTTCTAGAGTCTGCAAATAAGAGCGTAGTATCCGCCATAAAAGCCTATCTTGAGACTTTTTGAAAGGGCAGTAATTTCCCGCCTATCGTACTCGGTTTGCCGCCACTGACCCGACAAGTTGGGCGTTTGGAAGCTATAATGGTCTCAAATAAGGGGCCACCTTATTCCAGACTCGGCCGAGCATGGCAGGGCTCGACTCGGCTAGTGTTTCCAACAAACAACTACAACGCCATTTTTGGCCCCTCTTTCACGACGATGGACCAACAGGAAAGATTCTTCCATCGAATCCAACGATGTTCCTCCGGAATTTTACATACCATGTTCTTGTCGTCCGAACCGATCCACCACTCTACTCCGGGCCCCTCAACGTAGCATCCTCTGCCGTGACCCTAGTCTTGGACGACAAACATACGCGATGGACTACTCCGTGTACTGCTGTACCCATCAGGAATCCGAATGGAGAACATCCCCGTCCATGCCAAAGTCGGCGGGCCAGAACACACTCCCTCTCCTTTTGGGAATCAACTGCGTTGCATCAAACTCCTCTCATCTCGTCAAGCGGCTCCCACGCTAGGAAAGTTGGGGACTGAATGGCCAAGACTCTGAATCTCCTGTATAAAGATGCCTTTCCTCGATCAACAGCCTCTATGATCTTGGTTCTATTCTCCAGCACATACGTTCACTTCTTCAGCCCTTTTTCACAAACCTCTTACATTCGTTCTCCAATCCAGTCCTTCGTTTCTTCAAACAACCCACTACCGCAACCATGCAGTTCGCTACTTTCCTCTTGGCCGCCCTCCCGGCCACCACCATGGCCTTCCCCGGCCTCTTCCGCCGTGAGGAGCCCTCCAACAACGTCGCCAAGCGCGACTCCTGGGGCGGCGCCGTCTCCCTCGGCCCCACCACCTCCACCATCATCAACGCCGTTACCTACCTGACCCCCGGCGCCGCTCCTCCCACCCAGGCTGGTGTCCTCTTCCTCTGGCCCGGCATGTCCAACGGCACCGGCAACCTCGTCCAGACCACCCTCGAGTCGTGGCCCGACAACAGCTGGTGTGGTGCCGTCGCCGGCGAGTGGTGCGTCCGCGCCTCCGTCTTTGGCTCTTTCGGCCAGATCGACAGCACGACCTCCGCCCCCGTCAAGGGAACCCAGAAGATCAAGATCGAGTACGATCTCCTCGACGACAACGACACCTGGCGCCAGACCGTCACCGACACTGCCACCAACAAGGTCATCAGCACCCTCGACCACAAGGACGGCCCCTTCATGAGAGGCTACGGAACCGGCACCGAGTGCAACGACGGCTGCACCGGCACCATTGCTGAGCAGATCTACTCCGACACCACCATCACCCTCTCCAGCGCCGATGCCAACTTTGGCAAGACCATCGGTGTCAGCCAGGGTGCCACCTACACCGGACTCGCTGCCAGCAACGGCAACAAGGTCTGGAAGATCGCCACCATCAAGGTCCCCAAGATGCAGTAAATGCGTTTGCAACGTAAGCCTGCGGCTACCACAAGAAGGATTGGTTTCACTGTACATACTACATAGTCTTTGACAGACTAGGAAGACGTGCCCATGGCTGCTTCCAGGTTCCATAATTCAACCTCTTGCCATGCAATACTTTGCTCCATCGCTATGACTGTGACTTTTGATGACAAATCGCCAACAGTAGAGACCAAACCATGTGATATAGAGTAAGCAGAATATAATAGTTTGAATGGCATGAATGATGTGTGGATTAAGCTTATGTTGTTTACCCCAGCTGTGCTAAACTCAAAATAAGGTTTGCGCGAAGGAGTGTGCGCTGGTGATAATATTTGGGTTCTGCCTCAGTGAATCGTGTAGTAGGCAGTGCTATGACGTCTCAAG